TTCTTGTATATTAATCGGGATTAGGCAGACAGAGACGACAATTGAGTCAAGCGCGGTAGTGAAGTGCGTGAATCGTTGTGAATTCTATCGTGTGTTTAAGTGTATTGCAAAGTTGTATTGAGAGAGAATAAGCTAGTTTTATTTAAGAAAGGGCTTGTATCGCTGAAGTTTCTCGGAAATAACTTCTACAGAAAATTAACAAACGAACACAGAGGCGTAACAGTAATTAAGAAGTCTCAACTCTTTTCTACAAGCTATCTAATGATAAAATTACAGCAAGCATTATATTAAACAAACATATAAAACTTTTCTTGGTGGTTCAATTATTAATAAAAATGTGCTTTTCATAACAGTACAGATAGACAAGAACTCAATACTCAAACATATGTTCTTACAGATTCACAACCTTCAAAAATTTGGTTGAAAAACCCAACAGTTCACTTATCAGGTGTGAGGATTTTGCCTTTCAAAAATGTAGTTTTATTTTCATACAAAAGTACAAATGTGACTGTACAAGTACTTGTGAGTATACTTCAATAATTTGTAAAAGATTTGCCTCACATGTATTTACAGGTTGCCCCTTGCCTACTGAATGATCTTGCTCCAAACCACATTATTTACACTAATAGTACTTCAAACTTAGTGTGCATTTTTTAAAGAATCTTCAAAGGCTCTAACCCTAAGTGTCATTTAGTTAGTTATTGCACTGTTATTGAGCACTATATGTAGCAATCATATATTTATTAAAACTAAAAAGAATAAAATAAAAAATTGTTTTTTGATCATTGTGGGAAGTTATTACCATGTTTTTCCTATCAAATCCCAAACTTAAACTACTGCATATGTACTGTACAAGCATATGGGTATGTCAGAAGATTTACCATCACAGAATATAACTCAGAAAGTAGCCAGTTTAAGATACATAAATGATTCATCAATAGCTAAATAATTTTACCATTATAAATTGTTATAAGAAATCCCAAAAATAAATTGGAGCACCTTGAATGCTAATACATCATGGCTGATTATCCGGCAGATCTACCTGGTGGTGCCCATATCCTCTCCAGGTAGCCATCCTTTATAAGTGAAAAACTAGAGAGTAGGCAGGTAGTCAACACCACCACCTCTTTTACTAATGAATATTGGAATTGACTGTCACAATACAATGTCCCAAGGGTTGAAAGGGTGAGCATCTACAGTAAAGAGGATTCAAACCCACAAGCTGCAAATTGCAAGTCAAACACCTTAACCATCTGGCCAAATTTAGTTATAGAAAATAATTCAATTTCCACAAATAACTTTGACTAAAACTGGGATCTCATATGACCCAACACCAAATGAAGGCCATTCACCAGTTATTTTTCCCATAGTTGAAGATCAACCAAAATGTTACTCAAATTCACAAAACCACAATGATCTCATGTGGTAAAGAAAAACAAAAACAGGATAACTACATATATTAAAAGTTAAACAGGTGCTTTAATGATTTTATTTACTGACTTATAATTTTGCCCACTGAAAGGGAAGTCACAGTAGGAAAGGAATTGCCTAAAGATTTGTACTGCAAATCCAATACATTTACCCATATATACTATAAGCTGTTTTTTCCTAGATACACTAATAAAATTTGCTGGCTTCCAAGTCACTGTATTAAAATACATAGCTGCTATATTAAAGAAAAGAATCTCTACTGTAGTGAAAACAAATACTTTCAATATAAACAATTTTGCATAATTAATGTTAACCTTTGATTAATATTACTATGCAGTATATATTTATGCACGTATAATGAGAAGTTCAAAAAACATAAGCATTGTTAAAGATTTTAATTTTCCTAGCCCATCATAAGGTTCTTTTAAAACATAGTTGTTGTTTTTTACTAATACTGAAAATGTCTCTTAAATTGAAAAGCAAAAAAAAACCTTTCATTCCAACACAATTTTGATGAATGTCTTCATCATAGTATTTTTAGAAAATGTATGTATGTATGCATATCAGTTTATTAAAAAAATCAGTATGTTACTTCATAAAAATTTGCAAATAATGCGTCAAAAATGTGTAAGGTAATGGAAATAACACACACAATAATAAAAGTTTTATAAATTTTAATGATATGGCATGGATATTGCGGAAACAATTTTTTTTTGTCTCAGAAATACAAAATTTACATTTTTTATAAAATAATAATTATACTGATGAAAGGAAACTTTCACTAGTAAAATACAGTTAAATATGACTACAAAAGACCAAACAATAATTAATTTTAAGACTTTTTTGATTGCTCAAGAATTTTAAATTTTATACATGAAAATAGACTGAAACTTTCGTAGCATTATCCTGAAACTCAAAAATCTATTATAACTGTTTAGTAGTTTTGGTTTAACAACATACATGTAGATTAAGTTTTATTATTGATTGAAATTTTTTTTTTTCACACTACATGACTTGTATGAAAGACCTTTCCTTTCAACAACTTTCACAACCATATTTCTTTGTTAGTTTTTTCATATATAAAACAATCATATCATATATTCCAGACTATTTACTAATATAGACTAACTCTTATGTGTGTGTGTATGCACAACAGCAGTACTTCATGTTGACTGCAAAATATATAACATATATACAAATACAAACACACAATCCATCTTATTTTAGGTAATTTCACTTCACCTTTCAAATTACATCTAACTACATTCAACACTGCAGTGAAGTTGAACAATCTTCTTTCCCATAACTTTAAATGCATCTTCTGGGAATACTTTACAATATACCAAATTATGTTTAGAGAGCATGGAACACACAGCAGTTACCACAAAATTCAGCACACTATAATTCTTTGCAGCACTTACCATTATACTACATACATATATATATATTACTTGAAATGTATACTGAAACAAGTACTGAGATAAAACATGGCTGTAAACTTGAATATATTTAAGGCATTAAGAAGAAAAAACTCATCATCATCAAACCAAGACATACATTTCATGTTAGAAATCTAGAAAACCAATAAAATTTCAGTTTTAATCCAAGTTTTAATGATTATATACCAAAAACTGTTATGAAAACTAATTTTTATTAATACCTTTTATCGTCAAACAATATCATTTCTTTTTTTTTTTTAATCTCATTTATTTTAGTTCATATTCTAAGATAGAACATTCTGTCATTTAGTTGAAAAACATAGAAACATGTATTTTGCTTTAGGAATTTTCCTATATTCAGATTTCAATTGTTTTACTCTCTTTATACTCACATAGTAGCAAACTTACTACTCATCTTTATATTTAAAAAAAAACATACTAAATTTATTCTTGGGTTTGAGTGAAATAAAATGTGTAAAAATTTATCAATACAGTTTAACTTATATATATTTCTTTAAATAACTTTAGAATTTCAAAGTCACTCGCATCATTTACAAAAATAATAATAACAACAGCTGTGTCCAATATTCCCTTTGTGATAACCAACAGGTTACAGGCAGCATTTGTAAAAATATTCTCTTGCTAAGAAATGAAGTTCTTGATATCAAAAATTGTTTTGAGAGTTGAATTTATGATTCAATCCTAATAATGCCAATGTGATAAAATGAAGTTTGAAAATTAAGAACTTTTTATAAGTTGTTTTTGCAAATTTAAAAGTGACACACAGAAATTAGGAATCTTATAAAAAGCCTGAAGTCTAACATCAAAAACCTAAAAAAAGTGATCAGTAGGATACACATGCCAGAACACACACATAAATATAACTCTTTAAGAATCAGTAATTCAGATTTGACCAAAGAAAAATATTGTCCTTCATAATATACTGCTCATAATAATTAAAATATAATCAGTTTTCTATATTCTAGCTATGACAAGACACATCTACTATTATCAAATAATGTCAATGGCATCCCCAAGTCTACGTTTATGCAAATTAAGAATTGGGAGGCCTGTCATATAATTTGATTTGCATATTTCAATTGTATATAAAAGGGAAACAATGATAGTGTGATTTCAGTTTCCATTTTGAACAACACCAGTTTATATTGAGAAACCTAAAATGATAATTTAACATACCATGGTACCAACAAAGTCATTTGAACATTTCCATGGTGTAGATGTTGCTCTTTAACCCAGAGTTTGAGCACTTGACTCCTTGTCAAATGGTTGCAGGTTCAATTCTTGTCAAGGGGTGTCATTTGTCAATTTAGCCATCCATCCTTCTGTATATGGTAAACAAGCACAAAGTCAACTTGGGGAATCTAATCCAGATGAGTAATCTCTTGAGCTTCGTCATTGCTGGAGCCATAAAGGAAAAGGACATTGAGATCAGTACCACTATAAGGCCACCTATGTTTAGTCTTGTACAAATGGCATGATATAGATTTCAAATGATGACAATGCAATAGGTTGGCCAGAAGTTGGTAAAACACAATTCATCAGAATGGCTACACATGTTTTACAAAGTATGGCTAGAGGGATGTGGATTCATTTTTAGAAAACTGTAAACCCTGACAAGGCAGACCACAGTTGACAACTATGCAAGACAACTAACTGACCAACAATATGGGCTCGAAGCAGCCAGTAGGCCTCAGCTCCTCTAATTAATCAACAGTTCAGAGCAGCAAGCTGGTCATCCAATCAGCATGCAAACAGTCAGAAACACATTTCTTAAGGGTTATCCTTTATGCCAGATGAAAAATAGCTTAGTTAAAGGAACTCATTTCCAGAAAATAGTTCATCTTCAGTAGTGAAAAAAGCATTTTGGTGAATATCTTGCACACAGATGAACCATCCTTCACATTACATCCAAATACAAAATGTGTTCTCATTTAGATAGTACCAGGGACCAGATCCAATCCCAATTTTATGGATAAATGACATGTATGGCAGTAATGACATATTGATTTGAGCAGGGATCAATATAAGGCCAAACGGACTTTTATGTACTATAATATCACACATTGAATACATTACAATATAGGGATGTAGCCTTACAGTCATTAGCATTACCACAAGCATGGTACATTCAGTCAATACTTTCTTCTGATGAATGATAACACTCATCCCTGCCATGTTCTACTGTTATCAACTTCCTGAAAGAAAAGAGTATTGAGTGAATGGATTGGTCAGCATGCTCATGAGACTTGATTCTGGTTGAACATGTTGAGATGTTCTAGAAAAATGGAGGAGTGACCCAATGATTTACTAAGATGAAGTTTTCCACATTGATGCGCAACTTGCATTAATAACTGAAATGGTCATATGTCTCATTAACAAATGTTGTATAATAATTTACTGAGCTGCAAAGACTATAGTACCAAATCAGCATTTATGGACATGGATTGAAATAGCATATTTTTATGTATCAGATCACTTAACAGTAGTTGTGCCCTTTCAAAACTAGAATAAAGAAAACTCTGATTATCTTTAATCACTTTCTGTTAATTATGAAGAAAAAAATTTGTATTAACTATTATCCTAAGTCATCCTACATGTAGTATGTTTGAAAGTTTCACTGTTAATAACATTCTTCTTGCTAAATAAAATTATTGGTTTCTATATAGGTGTACACTTGATGAAGCCCAATTGACTGTATGATTTTTATTTACTTATTTTAACAGGTATAAACTTTGGTCATTTTATTATATATTTATGTTTTTGATATTCAATATGAAGAAAGTAATGTATTATCTGGAAAACTTATTCCTATTTTGAAAGGAAAATGACATATTGTGCATTCTAAATAACTACTGAACTTTGGAATGCATTGTACTTTACTTTTCAAACTATTACTTTTATTTTGGTAACCAATATTATTTGTGTCCAAAAATAAGGTATTCATGAATCTAAAAACTTGATTAAACGTTCATTTTCACAAACACTTTATAAGTTACAATAACTTTCTCTATACCGATAGAGATGTTCAAACCTTTCAGATAGGTAATGCTTAGAGCTGATAATCCTTAAGTAAAAACATTTAAAATATATAGTTTTTTTAAATGACAATGAACCTAGCTATACCATTGAATTTAATTACTTGTAATAAAATAACATAATTGTTTAATGTGTTAATGCCTTCATTAATAGGTAGCCTCAGAAGATTTCTCTAAGTAAATATAAAGGAATTTCATCCAGCAAAAGAAAATCACCAGTAGGATCATAATTTCTCCACTGTAGCATCGTATCTACTCTATGTTTACTGTAAGCTATTTCCCATCAACACAGCTTTCTTCTAGGTTTACACTTCCATTTTGTTTTTGGCAGAGATTACAAAAACAGTAACAAAGGAAATTATCTACAGTTGTTTTAAAGTACTTTGTATTCTTTTGCATGTTAAATTTATTCAGTTATTTGAAGTCAATATTGCAACAAAAAGAAATCACAATATCACTTTACACAGTTGCATACATTTTGATAAGCAACTCGTTTTATACATTAATTACATGGTAACAGTGGTAACAGGAGTTAAATTCAATAACAGTGACATTTAGTAGATCTCTAGACTTTTTCATTGCAGAGATCAAATTATTCAACATCTACAAGTGATTGTTCGACTTCTTTTAAATACTGGTTTTGCATTTTATGATTTTTATTAATGTGCTTACTCAAAGATGATTTGCTTCCAAACCATGCTGAACAAAACTGACACTCATAGCTTTGTTGACCAGTATGTTCCCTTATATGAGCTATTAAATTCAATTTCTTTCTAAACTTCTGGTCACAGTACTGACAAGCATATGGAGTTATATCAGAATGAATAGCTGTCATATGACATTTTAGGGCATAACCTTTCTTAAAGGCTTTCCCACAAAGCTCACAGAGATAGGACCTTTCTCTATGCAATAATACATGTTTCTTCAGGTTTTCCACTGTTTGAAATGCCTTTCCGCAAATGTTACAAACCTCAGTTCTCTCTAATGGCTCTGGAGCATGCTTTGTTGCTAAGTGGTATTTCAAAGAAGATGGACAAGCAAAGCGACACTCACACTTGTCACATTTAAATGGTTTTTCTGTTAAAAAATGTGATTTTTCATGCTTCCTTATTCCAACATTTGTGGTTAGAACCTTTCCACAAACCCTGCAATTTAACAGGGGACGATTATCATTGTGAATTCTTAAATGTTCTCTTAGACCAGGACGTTTGGTAAATCCTTTGTTACACACAGAGCAAAAGAAATGTTTTGTTTTGTTTGAGGTTTTACTTTTAGAAGGTTCTGATTCTTGACCTGTATCATTTTTAGTAGTTTCATTTTGTATAACGGTGTTTATTTCAACATCATCATCTAAAGCACCTGATACTTCATTTCTATAAAATAAAAATATTTAATCATTCTACAGGAAGAACATTAAAAAATTAGTGCATAATGCAAAGCTTCTTTCAAACACACACACACACACACACACAAAAAGAACAAACAAATGAATAAACATTCTGCTGTTTGACAGATTATAAATAATTTCAGTTACTAAAATAGCCAATACGCTCTCATTATATAGGTATTTTCATAGATGTATGTATGAAATCAAAATTAAAAACAACCTGATTACAGACTAAAACAATAAATTATTATTCACAACTAAAAAACATGAAAAAGTAAATAATATTTGCAGTGTTCAGTAATGCTTTACTATGAAAACTATTCCTAATTCAGCAGTTTTTATTAACATTTTTTTGGGGGTGGTTGGGAGTTTTTTAGAAACAAATTATCATTTTAAATATCATTACACAAAAACCACAGTAAGATTCTCAAACTATTGAGTTGATGTTTAAGAAACAGCTTTCTACAAATGATTTTTTTGTAATTTGTTTATACATTGATTAGATCTATTGTGGTAACTATGTAAGACAACTATCCATCCTTTTATATTGTATATCTTTGTATTTTCTAAATAGTATATTTTTTATATTTAAAAATTTTAAAATGAGAATTTCTTTAATATAATATTGTATGTAAAAAATTAAAAAGGACAATTTTTTAATATAATATTGTACATAAAAAATTTAAAATGACATTTCTTTATCAAATGCTACATTTAACTAGACATAGGTAATTGTATAAAATACTGCAAAGATCTGAATCATACAAATCAAAGAACATTTTACATTCATTCACTATACCATTTTGCTTTCAGTAACTTCTTACACTAGAAGTACTACATTTTTAACAGGACAGAAAATTCTAGAAAATTTAGAAATTTCAAAAAAGTAGGAACACTCCTGTGTAAATGCATGTTCCTTTAAAAAAGAGAGTGCATTCTTACAACCTAGTTTATATAGCTTGTTTCCTGTACTCACTTAACAAATTCCATGGAAACTGTCTTTTGAACATCTCCTTTTGATATTAGTTGTTTTCTGTGTTTATTGACACCATTTTCCACCTTAATGTCAACTTTACCATCCACTTCAGTCAGAACAGTTTCTACAGGTACAGCCTCTGAAGTCATCCTGTAACAAACATTCAAACATGTTGCATAATGAAAAATGAACATGAGCATGAATATCATGTTAAACAGGACAATGATATTCCATCAAGATATCAGCTTCCTTTTGTATTTGTAAGTCAAAAATGCACACTTAAATCATTATTTCCCTGTGCAAGATATCAAGCTGTGAAATTCCTAGGTTTCTGTATTCCTACCAGAAGTTATAATTTTCCTGTACTGAAAATGTACTTTTGATAGGTACATACCTCCTTTCACATAAATAGCCATTCTCATTCAGAGCTCCCTTCTATATGCAAAAAATTTTTGTGGATGGCAAAAGCCTTGAAGCTCCCACCCATGCTACCAATAAGAGGGTAACATACTCTCTTGATGCATGTGACTTCCTCTATTTAATTCTGCCGAACTATCGTTTTGAGTTTTGGCAGAAAATGGAAGCACCAGTTTTCAGTGGGGAGGAGGTAAGTACCTATCGGAAATATATTTTCAGTAGAGGAAAATTATAATTTACAATATGGTACATTACCTCTTCTCACATAAATAGCTAAAATCCCACATTGAATAGATGGAGGGACGGGTGCGAGGGAAAGAAAGAAGCATCTATCAAAAGCGTCCGAAGTATACTCCCCAAGAAGAGATCTTTGGATTCAAATATCATACATGGGAGACCACACCTCTTCTGAACCACGTATACTCTTTGCCCATTGTGGAAGGATGTATATATGGGCACAAAGATGGAGGAGCACATCCATGTGGGAGAGAACTATCACAGGACAGGGATCCAAACCATACAATATTTATTAAACTAATCCTGCAAAAATATAATAATGGGTATGATTAAAAGTATGTAAGATATAGATTGGCTAGGGTGCAATAGACCATACATGGCAAGTCAACTACCTCCAAAACCCAGGCTGCTGAGAACTGACATCCATGTGGAGGTAGGAAAGAGGATTTTACCATCTTCACCTCAAGTTCACGAGACCAGAGGGAATCTCGTACCCCCCAACTCGTGAATGGGGCACATGATAACAATGTGCGAAATTGATTGATTGATCTGGAAACCTGACATCCAGCATTGAAAAGATGTCGATATAATGTAAACCATCTCACCCAAATTTAAAATGACAGAAACCACCCTAAGCACAGTAACATCCTTGGAATAATACGAACATCAAGGGATAGCGGAAGGGGAAGAACTGTAGTACTCTGCAAGTACCTCCATCGTGACACACAACATAGATGGAATAACAAGAGTATAAATGATTGAGGAATAGAGACCTCTATAATACATGTATGAGGACTCATGTTGATTGGTTCAGCTCTAAATCTAAATCCAAGACACTGGGAATCGACATCCATGTGGGGGTGAACTGCAGTTTTGATGGCTCACTCCAATGTGACATAGTGAAGGATATTTCGTCATCTACACCAGTAGGATGCCACCACCTTACTCTCAATTGAATGGTTTTATAATCATTTGTGTATAAATTATACAACATATATATATGTATCATTTGTATTTCACTAACACATTCAGGAGGATGCCTTCATGGTCCACTCCAGCAGCTTGGAACTGGAAAGTGGTAAAGGGGCTGGAGAGTCTGGAGAAATGACAACACCTGAGATAGTGCAGACCATGAAACCTATTTTTAAACGCAGACCTTACTGATTTATTCAATACAAGGTATGGAAGGGATGGGCAGCTATCCCTTTCTGCTTTACCCATGTAGTCCATGGGTGACTATGATCTGGGACAGGCAAACTAATGAAGCAAACATATCACAAGGATAAACCTACAAGCAATCTTGCGGAACACACCATTTCAACAGTGTGTGTGTGTGTGTTTTTGGCCATAGAAATCATTATATGCAAGTCAACATGGTCTTACAGTGCAGATTTGAATGGTTAAACAATACCTGGTCATGCATCACTCGCCACAGAGCAGGATCCAGACAATGAGTAGCAACAAACAAAAAGAAAAAAAAAGGAGAAAAAGGCCCCTGACAAGAGAAAAAAAGATAATTTACCCAGTCAGAGTCTCACTGAAGTCTGAAGAATGGCTACAGGTAGAAGACGATAACCCAAAGATGAAAATTCTGTGATCCAATGAAAGTATTGAGATATGAATTTATGAGGAGTAGTCTGCATACCCAATTGAAGAATTTCCTCCAAGGGATGATGAAAATGAGATGCCAATAAAAATGTAAGGTGTCTGATTTGATAAGAAGACACCTGGAATAAAGTACAGGAAAAAGACAATAAAGAATAATAAGCCAATCAAATTAAAAGCCGAACCCAACTGGTGATGATGGAAAGAGAAAGATCACGAATAGAAGATGTCTGCCAAGGAATAATGAGGTGGGAACAGTCACCACTGAAGGAAGCCATGCAGGCAATATAAGAAAAGCACGTACAGGACATAGAAGTCTATCCGGATCAGACTGAGAATAAAGGTGGGAAATGGAAGGAAGGGAAATCGTCAAAATGTAGGAATTACCCTCTCAAACTGTCAAAGTTTTGGGGAGAAAAAAATTATTTGCATAAAGGAGAATATATGTGGAATGATAAAGAGTATGTAAAACATCGATGTCAAATAAATCTGACCTCCAGCATCCACAGGCTAAGAGGAGAAGGAAATAAGTCTTAAGGTAAAGATGAAACAACAAGCATTTGGACAGTGGTTCAAATGGAGGCAAGGTGAGGCAGTGAGTGATCATATTAACATCCCAATCTGGAAGGACAGCCCATCAAGGTGGACAACAAATCTGGAAGGAACGCATCAATAGGGAAAGAGTAGCAGGGGTAAACACACTACAAAATCTGGAAAAATGAAAAGTGTGGGGCAAGGCAGCCCGATAACCTCCAAACAAGGAGAAAGAAGAACCCCCAATCAAAAGGCCAAGTGAGGAAATCTGCAATATGAGGAACAGTAGGTCAAGTGAATGAAAACCCCTGACCCAAAAACTAACAGCAGCAAATGTTCCATTTATGTTGATAAACCTACTTGTAGGAAGTGCGAATAGAGCTAGCTAGAAAAAGAAGTTACCCATCAGGACAAACTGGATCTCGTCACCAAGGACAGGATAAAATCCAGGTGTGAAGATGGAGGACAGGAAGGGCTGGATGAAGCACCGGTGATTAAGTTGCCAAAGAAGGCATCGAGTGCGAGGAAGAGGTAACAGAGGGGTAGTTTGGAGCTAGCCAGTAAGGAGCAATCAGAAGGACGAGACATGGAGTGGCATGGATGATCGAAATCACCCTGTGAAGAAGACAAATGGGAGGATAGACATATGGATATTTGTTGGTCCAATCCTGACTGAAAGCATCCACAGCCAGAACAGGAGGATGAGGAACTGGAGACCAAAACAGAGGCAATTTGGTGTTGAGGGATGTGGCAAATGCATCAAGATGAGGAGTACTCCACTGACAGCAAAGCCACTGGAAAAAAAGGAGGATTGGGGATTATCTGGACAGGTAAGCCGATCCACAACAAGATCAAAAGCATCTGGAACATGGCATGCAATGTTGCAAATATTGAGGGTGTGGACCCAAAAGAAGATCCAAAGTATGAAAACATAAGGATCGAGAATGGGTGCCACCTTGGAGATTGAGATAAGCAACCACTGTAGAATTGTTGGAATGAATCATTACCTGACAATACCTGGCCAGATGGAGAAAATGAACCAAAGCACAATGTACCAATGCAGATCGCTGACAAGGGAAGGAGGAAGGGAAATAGGAGCCTTCAAAGGATCCCATGCAAGATTCTACTGGTTGTGAATAGCCAACTGAAGAGACCCCATATATGCACAACCTAGAACGAAGCTAAAGACGAGAAGGTTGGGCCCATCTGAGATGGTCTGGTACTACCTTGGACAAACATTGACTTGTGGTAGGATCCTGAGGCAATGAGAAGGAAATAGGTACCTGAAATAAATGAGGGGAGAAAGGAATTGTAGTACAAATTCCTTGGATGAAACTTGAATAGCCCAGGGGTTTGTTGCAAAAGTTCACCAAAGGGGAACAAATTCAGACAAGTGAGCTCCCACTGGACCAGAACCATTTACATCGAATAAAACCAGATGAGGAACTCCTGGAGGTAGGAACAGTAACGGCTGAGAAAGACTAGAATGGGAAACAGGAATAAGGGTCTGTCTCAGCTCTAACTGCAACAAATGTGCAACCAACGAAGAAAGGGTAGAGTGTTGATGCACTGACTCCACTTGTGATTCCAAAGTCTCAGGCATATCACCAAAAACATACTCCTGATGAAAAGGGGTCAGACATAATCCCTGAGATAAGGGGTGGTAAACAAACCTAGGAAGGCCACATCTGTACCACGTGTGTGAAACAAGAGCCGAAGACAACCAACGTGCAAACCTAGAAGTAATAAGGGAAAAGACTTTCTCATGAAAAACCCTCCGAATCTCTGTGGATTGCCTCAGAAAGAAGATGATTAGTAAACAAATAGAAGGGAAGTAAGGGTAAAATGAAGGTGGAAAAACTGGTCATGGGATAAATGCACGGGAAAATCAGGGACTACCCACACACGAGTAAAATTGACTCCAACTACTGAGAAACAAAATGCTCAGCATGAACCCTAATATCTGGGGAAGGGGGGGGGACTAAATAATGAGATAAAGAGGTGCCATGCAAAAAAGAAGGATGGGGATCATAAGATATCGAAGAAATGAATAAAACCTCACATACCTGAGAAATCATGTCTAAATACACTGCATTAGGCCTAGCTGATTCTGCAGGAGGGGCATAGGAAAACATGGCAAAAATCTGGTGGTAGAAAAAGGCTATCAAAGTCCTTGTTGGTCCGAACATGTTCGGCTTGTTAAGAAAGAAGTGGAGCAAGTTGAGAAGGAGGAGGTTGACAGTGGATAATAGCAGATAAATGCAATGACAGGTCTGTTTGGCAGTACTTTTTGGCAGTACTAATTTCCGAGGTGGAATTTCTTCATTATTATTATTATTATCTTTTTATCCATACAT